GTTTAGGGTTTTTTTTGTTTTGTTTTGTTTTGTTTTGTTTTGTTTTTGTGAAAAATAACGTTGGTATTTTGATAGGCATTGCATTCTATCTATAGATTGCTTTGGGCAGTATGGTCATTTTAATGATATTAATTCTTCTAATCCATGAGCATGGGAACTTTTGTTTGTGTTATCTGTAGTTTCTTTTATTGATGTTTCATAGTTTTCCCTTAGAGATATTTTACCTCCTTGATTAATTATATTTCTAGATATTTCATTGTTTTTGTAGCTGTTGTCTATAGGACTAATGTCTGATTCTCACCTAAATCATTATTGATGTATAGAAATGCTACTGATTTTTACACATTGATTTTGTGTCCTGAAATTTTACTGAATTCATCAAATCTAATAGTGGTTTTGGTGAAGTCTTTAGGTTTTTCTAGATATAAGATTTTATTATCAGTGAATAGGGATAATTTGAGAACCTCTTTACCAATTTGGTTGCTTCTTTAAAAACAAACAAACAAACTTTTTATTTTTATTTTTATTTTTTTATTTTTTATTTTTATTTTTGCCTAATTGCTCTGGTTAGGACTTCTGGTGATAGTTGGCATCCTTCTCTTGTTCCAGTTCTTAGAGGAAAGACTTTCAGCTTTTCCCCATTCAGTATAACCTTGGCTGTTGGATTGTTGTATTATGGCTTTATTATTTTTACGTATGTTTCTTCAATACTTAGTTTGAGGATTTTTATCGTGAAGAGATGCTGAATTTTATCAAGTGCTTTTTTTTTCTGCATCTGTTGAGATAATCCTATGTTTTTTTGTTCATGATTCAGTTTATGTGATGTATCACATTTATTGATTTTTATATGTTGAACCATCCTTGCATCCCTGGTATAAAACCCACTTGGTCATGGTGTATTATCTTCTTGATGTGCTATTGGATTCTGCTTGCTAGTATTTTGTTGAAAATTGTTTTTATGTTCATCAGGGATCTTGGTCTGTAGTTTTCTTTCTTTTTCTGGTTTTAGTATCTGAGTGATATTGACCTTATAGAATGAATGAGGCAGAATTCCCTTTTTCTTGATGTTTTGGAACAGTTTCAAGATTGATATTAGTTCTTCCTTATATGTTTGGTGGAATTTGTCTATGAATTCATCTGGTCATGGGCTTTTCTTTGTTGGAACACTTTTTTTTTCTCTGATTCAGTCTTTCTACTCATTATTGGTCTGTTCAGGTTTTCTATTTCTACCTGGTTCAATATTGGGGAGTTGTGTGTTTTGAAGAACTTATCCATTTCCTCTAGATTTTCTATTTTGTGAGTGTGTAGTTTTTTCATAATAGTTTCTGATGATATTTTGCATTCCTGTGGTTGTAATGCCTTTTTTTTTTAAACTTCTAATTTTGTTTATTTAGAGTTCATGTTTTCTTGGTTTGTCTATGAGTGGTTTATCAATTTTGTTTGTCTCCTCAAATAACCAACTTTTCCTTTTGTTGATCCTTTAAGTTGTTTTGTTGGTCTCTATTTCATTTAGTTCTGCTTTGATCTTTCTTTTTAGTTTCTTTTCTATTGCTAGCTTTGGGTTTGGTTTTGTCATGCTTTTCTTGTTCCTTGAGGTACAACATTACGTTGTTAATTTGTGACCTTTCTAGTTTTTTTTTTTTTTTTTTTGATATAGGCATTTAATGGCATAAACTTCCCTCTTAACATTACTTTTACTGTATCCCACAGGCTTTACTATGTTGTGTTATCACCTTCATTTATTTCAAAATTTTTAAAACTTCTCTTGAACCCAGTCTAATTATACTTCTAGAACACTTAATTATGTGCCAGTTGCTGTAAGAAGAAATTTACTTTGTGAAGTTATTTAAGACCATTTCAGGAATGGGTAAGCTGCAGCACAGAGGTGAGCAACTCACCAGAGTTGCTCATTTGGTAGAAAGGGGCTGATCTAGGGTCAGAGTTGAACCTGGCTCTGGGTCATCTGGTCTTGGCCATTGCTTTCTATGGCCTCTTCGCTGAGCTCATTAGACAAGAAACAAATGATTGTGAGGAAAATGTTCATGGTGTATTTTGGGGTAGACATAGCAGGATATGCACCTCTACTTTGTTAAAAGAAAAAAAGCCCTTTGCATATGCAGAGAAAATGTGCAGTACATGTGCCACATTACTTTCTGTGGTTGTCATTGAATGGAAGGATTATGAGTGCTTTGACGATTTTTTTTCTTTGTGTTTCTTTTTTTAAATAGTAAAAGAAGAATGTGAAAATTTAAAAAATAATGTAAAAGAAAGAAAGACATATATGACAAATGTTTATGACATTTTTACAAAGATTTAATCTTTTCTCAGTAGTACAGTATAGTTCAGGTTATTTTCTACTGCACTGTATTACCATCTACAGAATTTTTCTAGACAGAATTATCTTGGCCATTGTGACAGTGCACTCCAGCCTGGGTGACACAGCAAGACTCCATCTCAAAAAAAAAAAAAAAAAAAAAAAAAAGAATTATCTTGACTGGGTACAGTGGCTCACGCCTGTAATCCCAGCACTTTGGGAGGCCAAGGCAGGTGGATAATCTGAAGTCAGGAGTTTGAGACCAGCCTGGCCAACATGATGAGACCCCGTCTCTACTACAAATACAAAAATTTGCTGGATGTGGTAATCCCAGCTGCTCTGGAGGCTGAGGCCGGAGAGTCACTTGAACCCAGGAGTCAGAGGTTGCAGTGAGCTGGGATCATGCCACTGTACTCCATCCAGCCTGGGTGACAGAGTGAGACTCCATTTCAAAAAAAAAAAAAAATCTCTGTAGAATTTATACTACATAGGACGTAATAGGTAGTCAATAAATAAAATACTGAACTTGACACACAAATTAAGATATTACATAGATATGGCATTTTTATCACAACTGTGTAGAACTATTTCATGCTTAAATAGCTTTGTTCTTCAAACCAGTGTTTTAAGGCAGTAGCTGCATTTAATATGATTCTGGATGATAGGTGTGGTTGTGGGGATGTGCTTTCAGCTGAACTGCTGCTCACGTGGAGCCAGATCAGCCCTGCTCAGAGATAGCTCAGTCGTTGTGCACCTCCATTGCTGTGTTGTATAATGAAGTGGACACTGCTTTACTGCACAGGGCCTCTTTTCATTGAAATTTGGATAATGAATATTTGAAGATTTGTACTTGTAATCCTCAGAGGATTTGGACAGAAGCATTTTAAGATCCAGAGGACTTAGGGTGAGCCTCTACTGTGACATCTAGAACTACAGATACCATATGGAAAACAAGTTAATAAAAAATATTTAGCTAAGCTATCTTAATTTATTTTCCTAAGATTTTTTTGAAAATATAAATCATTCCTGTAAATATAAAGTATTCAATCAGTATTCCTTGTAGGTGGTCAACAAAAATTACTTTTTTTTTTTTTTTCGAGATGGAGTTTCGTTCTTGTTACCCAGGCCGGAGTGCAATGGTGTGATCTTGGCTCACCGCAACCTCCGCCTCCTGGGTTCAAGCAATTCTCCTGCCTCAGCCTCCCAAGTAGCTGGGACTACAGGCGTGCGCCACCACGCCCAGCTAATTTTTGTATTTTTAGTAGAGACGGGTTTTCACCTTGTTGACCAGGATGGTGTTGCTTGACCTCGTGATCCACCCATCTCAGCCTCCCAAAGTGCTGGGATTATAGGCTTGAGCCACTGCGCCCAGCCGAAATTACCTTTTTAAGGGAATAAAAACATATATTTATTCCAAAAAGTGAAATTGTTATGAAATTGCTTATGTAGAACTAATTGATTACTCTTTCTGCCAGTGCTATTTTATTTTACAGCCAATTTTATGTCAGTAAAAGCCATTACTAGATATGTAAAGGTTACATATCTTTATGTGAACTGGCTTCCAGCATTCCAAATTTAGATAGTTTAGGCAGTCACATTGTTATCAACAGTCATATGCTTTGTTTACAGATTGTTTGTCACATATATTCTGTTAACTTTATGTATTTATATGAAACGTAAATTATTTTATATACAAATAAAATCCTGTTTAAGCAAAAAAGTATATATTTCCTGATAATTATGATCACTGCATATGTAATATACATTACAATATAACAAGCTGATATGGATTTTTACGTGTATGTGCATGCACATATACCTACCTATTCACAGGGATACAATTAGCAGAGTGTCTTTGCTCTGCTCTTTCATCACTTTAATCACTAGAACAAATAACAAAAGTGCATCCTTTGTATTTTTTGTTTGTATTTTGTATTTGCATTTGCGTTTGTATTGTATTTTGTATTTGCAGTTGTATTATATTTGTGTTGTATTGTATTTGTATTTCGTATTTGCAGTTGTATTGTATTATATTTGTGTTGTATTGTATTTGTATTTTGTATAGTTACCTGTGTGCTTTGTGCCTTTGCCACCACTCAGGGCACCTTCAGCAGGGACCCTGCAGGGCATCTTTGTGGTCCCCAGCCCTGTGCTGGTCAAGGCTTATGGAGGCTTCTTAGGAAGGCTCTGGTCATCCCCAAAAGGTGTTGGAGATTCTCTCCATAATTAATAAGAATTCCTTGACATTTTTTTTACAGTAAACAAATTTCATATGGTACTTTTTAAATAGTTGTGAAACTTAACCACCCTTGATAGAATGTTTTGCCTCCCAAAAGTCTTGGAATAATTTATCTAAATAATTTACTATTTTAGAAGATTTGTTAGGTTTGCTCTGATATTTTAAAAATTTCCAGAATATGATTACATTTAATATTTATCATAGATAAAAGTTTATTTACTATTAGTTTTGTCATCTTTGGGATTTGTGATTTTTGAATAGTGTTTGAATTATTTTTAACTATCTCTAGAGAGACTCATTAACCATTTAATAATTCTCACATATAAAATACTTTCATTATTCATTTTTGCCTTTTTGTGAAGAAAAGCAACAAGTTGTTTTCTCTCATTTAATTTGTATTAAAATTTAAAAATTATTTTTCTCTTGGTGTTTCTTTCCTCCCCATAGGTGTGAGCGCCACTTTGAAGGGCATCCAAACCGCGGCTATCCATGTGGAATAGCTTTCAGTCCTTGTGGACGATTCGCGGCTTGTGGGGCTGAAGACAGACACGTATGTACTATTTGAGGGTCTATAAATGCAGAGATTCTAGACTTTGTTAATGTTTAGACTGTTTAATATTGTTACATGTTAGGATAGAAGCCTACTTTAAGCTTGACCGTTGGTCAGTATTTTAAGACTTATGCATAATAGCATTTTAATAATGTGTAAGATATGAAATGTGTTTATTGAAGCATGATAAATAGTAATCACTCAAGAATTCATTATTAATCATTTCACAGATACTTGTTGAGTGCCTGTTATTTGAACAACATTGTGCTACACATTATCTTTTTTTTTTATTAAAAGATGATAATATTAATTAGTGAAATACCAGATCCTGTGTATTCAATGGTGTGATCCTTTCCTAAGTTAGATCCTTAGGCAACAATGTGCTTATATTAATGAAATTGCCCTCCACCGTCCTCCCACATTACACATTATGTGCATATGCCTCATAGTGGATTTGGGGCAGGTACTGATACACATCCATTTGTCCATAATACGTTTTAAAAGGCCTGTATTAACTTCCTAGGGATGCCACAAACTACCACAAACTTGGAAGCTTAACCCTCTTCCCGTTTGCCCCAAGAATACTGACTGGCAGCCTTGCAGCTGCAGGATTCACCTCAAAATCATGTAACTACAAAATACCTTGCTTTTATTATTATTTTCTCATGGCACTAGTATACTTGCTTTGGAAACAAAAGACACCATTCTGTCTATAGCATTCTGTTTTTAGTAGTGGTATTTTCATTTACAAAATACAGTAGTAATTCTTGATTGCTGAAAATGCAAAATTCTAGAAAATGTAGCCTTTCATTTTTTTATTGCATCTTAGGTTTTGGGGTACATATGAAGAACATGCAAGATTGTTGCATAGGTACACACATGGCAGCATGATTTCCTGCCTTCCTCCCCATCACCTGTATCTGGCATTTCTCCCCATGCTATCTCTCCCCAACTCCCCACCCCACACTGTCCCTCCCCTACTTCCGCCTGACCCCGGTGTGTGGTGCTCCCCTCCCTGTGTCCATGTGTTCTCATTGTTCAACACCCACCTATGAGTGGGAATGTGCGGTGTTTGATTTTCTGTTCTAGTGTCAGTTTGCTGAGAATGATGGTTTTCAGGTTCATCCATGTCCCTATAAAGGACACGAAGTCATCATTTTTGATGGCTGCATAATATTCCCTGGTGCATGTGTGCCACATTTTCCCTGTCCAGTCTATCATCGATGGGCATTTGGGTTGGTTCCAGGTCTTTGCTATTGTAAATTGTGCTTCAGTGAACATTCGTGTGCATGGGTCCTTATAGTAGAAAGATTTATAATCCTTTGGATATATACCCAGTAATGGGACCGCTGGGTCAAATGGAATTTCTATTTCTAGGTCCTTGAGGAAATGCCACACTGCCTTCCACAATGGTTGAACCAATTTGCACTCCCACCAACAGTGTAAGAGTGTTCCTATTTCTCCACATCCTCTCCAGCATCTGTTGTCTCCAGATTTTTTAATGATCACCATTCTAACTGGTGTAAGATGGTATCTCAATGTGGTTTTGATTTGCATTTCTCTAATGACCAGTGATGATGAGCATTTTTTCATATGTTTGTTGGCCTCATGTTTGTCTTCTTTTGTAAAGTATCTGTTCATATCCTTTGCCCTCTTTTGAATGGGCTTGTTTATTTCTTGAAGATCTGTTTTAGTTCTTTGTAGATTCTGGATATCAGCCCCTTGTCAGATAGGTAGACTGCAAAAATTTTTCCCCATTCTGTTGGTTGCCGTTTCACTCTACTGACTGTTTCTTTTGCTGTGAAGAAGCTGTGGAGTTTAATTAGGTCCCATTTGTCTATTTTGGCTTTTGTTGCCATTGCTTTTGGTGTTTTAGTCATGAAGTCCTTGCTTACGCCTATGTCCTGAATGGTTTTGCCTAGGTTTTCTTCTAGGGTTTTTATGGTGTTAGGTCTTATGTTTAAGTGTTTAATCCATCTGGAGTTAATTTTAGTGTAAGGTGTCAGGAAGGGGTGCAGTTTCTTATTTCTGCACATGGCTAGCCAGTTTTCCTAACACCATTGATTAAACAGGGACTCCTTTCCCCAACGCTTGTTTTTTTCAGGTTTGTCAAAGATCAGATGGTTGTAGATGTGTGGTGTTGCCTCCGAGGCCTCTGTTCTGTTCCATTGGTCTATATCTCTGTTTTGGTACAAATAACATGCTGTTTTGATGACTGTAGCCTTGTGGTATATCTTGAAGTCTGGTAGTTTGATGCCTCCTGCTTTGTTCTTTTTGCTTAGAATTGACTTGGCTATGCGGGCTCTCTTTTGGTTCCATAAGAAGTTTAAGGTGGTTTTTTCCAGTTCTGTGAAGAAGGTGATTGGTAGCTTGATGGGGATAGCATTGAATCTGTAAATTACTTTGGGCATTATGACAATTTTCATGATATTGATTCTTCGTAACCACAAACATGGAATGTATCTACATCTGTTTGTGTCCTGTCTTATTTCATTGAGCAGTGGTTTGTAGTTCTCCTTGAAGAGGTCTTTTGTATCCTTTGTTTGTTGTATTCCTACGTATTTTATTCTCTTTGTAGCAATTGTGAATGGCAGTTCATTCTTGATTTGGCTCTCTTTAAGTGTGTTATTGTGTATAGGAATGCTTGTGATTTTTGCACATTGATTTTGTATCCTGAGACTTTGCTGAAGTTGCTTACCAGTTTAAGGAGATTTTGGGCTGAGATGATGGGATCTTCTTAATATAGAATCATGTTGTCTGCAATTAAAGACAATTTGACTTCCTCCTTTCCTAATTGAATATGCCTTGTTTCTTTTTCTTGCCTGATTGCTCTGGCTAGAACTTCCAATACTATACTGAACAGGAGTTGTGAGAGAGGGCATCCTTGTCTAGTGTCAGATTTCAAAGGGAATGCTTCCAGTTTTTGCTCATTCAGTATGATATTGGCTGTGGGTTTGTCATAAATAGTATTTATTATTTTGAGATACATTCCATCAATATCGAGTTTATTGAGGGTTTTTAGCATAAAGGGCTGTTGAATTTTGTCAAAGGCCTTCTCTGCATCAATTGAGATAATCATGTGGTTTTTTTCTTTGGTTCAGTTTATGTGGTGAATTACGTTTATAGGCTTGCGTATGTTGAACCAGCCTTGCATCCCCAGGATGAAGCCAATTTGATCATGGTGGATAAGCTTTCTGATGTGCTTTTGCAGTCAGTTTGCCAGTATTTTATTGAAGATTTTTGCATCTATGTTCATCATGGATATTGGCCAGAAGATTTCTTTTCTTGCTGAGTCTCTGCGAGGTTTTGGTATCCTGGATGATGTTGTTCTCATAAAATGATTTGGGAAGGATTCCTTCTTTTTGGATTGTTTGGAATAGTTTTAGAAGGAATGGTACCAGCTCCTCTTTGTATGTCTGGTAGAATTCAGCTGTGAACCCATCTGGACCTGGGCTTTTTTTGGGTGGTAGGCTCTTAATTGCCGCCTCAACTTCAGACCTTGTTATTGGTCTATTCAGGGTTTCGACTTCTTCCTGGTTTAGGATTGGGAGGATACAAGTGTCCAGGAATTTATCCATTTCTTCCAGGTTTATTAGTTTATGTGCATAGAGTTGTTTGTAATAATGTCTGATGATGGTTTGTATTTCTGTGGACTCTGTGGTGATATCCCCTTTATCGTTTTTTATTGCATCTATTTGATTATTCTCTCTTTTCTTTTTTATTAATCTGGCTAGTGGTCTATTTTGTTGATCTTTTCGAAAAACCAGCTACTGGATTTATTGATTTTTTGACGGGTTTTTTTGTGTCTCTATTTCCTTCAGTTCTGCTCTGATCTTAGTTATTTCTTATCTTCTGCTAGATTTTGAGTATTTTTGATTTTGCTCCTCGAGCTCTTTCAATTTTGATGATAGAGTGTTGATTTTAGATCTTTCCTTGCTTCTCATGTGGGCATTTATTGCTATATATTTTCCTCTGGATACTGCTTTAAATGTGTCCCAGAGATTCTGGTACATTGTGCAGTTCTGGGTTAGTTTCTGAATTCTGAGTTCTAACTTGATTGCACTGTGGTCTGAGAGACTGTCTGTTATGATTTCCGTTCTTTTGCATTTGCTGAGGAGTGATTTACTTCCAATTATGTGATCAATTTTAGAGTAGGTGCGATGTGGTGCTGAGAAGAATGTATATTCTGTGGATTTGGGGTGGAGAGTTCTGTAAATGTCTATTAGGTTTCCTTGTTCCATGTCTGAGTTCTAGTCCTGGATATCCTTGTTAATTTTCTGTCTCTTTGATCTAATATTGACAATAGGGTGTTAAGGTCTCCTACTATTATTGTGTGGCAGTCTAAGTCTCTTTGTAAGTCATTAAGAACTTGCTTTATGTATCTGGGTGCTCCTGCATTGGTTGCATATATATTTAAAATCATTAGCTCTTCTTGTTGCATTGATCCTTTTACCATTATGTAGTGGCCTTCTTTGTCTCTTTTGATCTTTGTTGCTTTAAAGTTTATTTTATCAGAGAGAAGAATTGCACCTCCTGCTTTTTTTTTGCTCTCCATTTGCTTCGTAAATCTTCCTTCATCCCTTTGTTTTGAGCCTTTGTGTATCCTTGCATGTGAGATGGGTTTCCTGGCTACAGCACACCGATGGGTTTTGGCTTTTTATTCAATTTGACAGTCTCTGTCTTTTGATTGAGGCGTTTAGCCCATTTACATTTAGGGTTAATATTGTTATGTGTGAATTTGATCCTTCCATTTTGATGCTACCTGGCTGTTTTGTTGGTTAGTTGATGCAGTTTCTTTATTGTGTTGATGCTCTTTACCATTTGGTATGTTTTTGGAGTGGCTGGTACTGGTTGTTCCTTTCTATGTGTAGAGCCTCTTTCAGGAGCTCTTGTAAAGCAGGCCTGGTGTTGATGATATCTCTGAGTACTTGCTTGTTTGTAAAGGATTTTATTTTTCCTTCACTTACGAAGCTTAGTTTGGCTGGATGTGAAATTCTGGG